AAAAAAAAAAAAAAAAAAAAAAAAAAGAAGCATAAAGAGAAAAAACTCTGGACGAGTAATTTTTTTCTCGCTCACGATCAGCTTCCATTTGCGCCGCGTGTCCTCCTTTTAATCCCCCGAGACAAAAGTTCCTCTTCCCCCCTCCCCCCTTTTCCTTTCCCCACAAAATTGCGCGGACCCTATTTTTCCTCTAGATTCCTCGCGGAAACGTAATCGCGTGTCCCGAAAACAAGCGCGCGGAAATCATCCCTGGAACGAAGATCCACCCTCTCCCGAGATAAATCGGTGGGCTAAAGTGGCCTCGTCGAATCGTCCTATTTCTCGTTGAAACAGGCCGCCGTTGCACGGCTTACGAAAAACACTGAACCCCCCCTCCCCCTTGCGGGGAGCGCTAGCGAAATTAACGACGTTAATGATCGTCGCCATGGTTGGCGCACCGTCGAAAACCCGGTTAGAAAAATAATTACTCGGCTCGATGTCCCGAGAATATTAAGTTGGCCGAGGTTTTGCAGCTGCGCCCTCTCCTCTCTATATACCCGTCCCCTGAATTAATTCCCGCGCACGGGATAAAATTAATCCCGTGTAATCGGGAATCCCCGAGTGTTGCTCGTCGCTGAACACAATTTTCAAACGAATCGTCGAAAGCCGTTTGCCGTTCCCATCCCGTCCCCGTCTAATCCTCGACCGGGGCGGGGGGGGGAGGGGGAAGGGGAGGGGGGAGAGAGGTATAGTTATAGCAGTAAATTGCAGCGAATCGGTTTTGAAAATTGATGGGCGATTAAAGTTTGGATTAAAAATTTGTCTATGGTTGCAAATGGTTCGGAAAGAACACGTTCTGTGACGCGTGTACCCTCGAATGTATGTATATACTGTCGATTTTTTTCCCCCCTTTCGAGATAAATGTGTATATATACGTGTTATATTCTTTCAACACGTGTGAAATAGAATAGAATTGCAAGCGTATCCTTTCGAACAAGATTTATCATTATTGAAGATGATGATCACTTTGGAAGCAAATTTTCGTTCGAGTTCTCGAAAAACGAAACATCAATACGAACGAGGAAATCTTTCGAAAATGAAACGGGGGAGGGGGAGATTTAAGTCGGCCAAACTTCCAACAAGGATCCATCTCTCTCTCTCTCTGTACGCGATGAAACAATCTCCGTTTCGAGATTTTCATCTCCGTTTTCATCTCCTTCTGCCGCCGCGATAACTTTGCGTTATCATTGTCATCCAGGCGCACATCGTGGTTCGAAATTCACGAAATCGTCCCTTGCGTTACGAAAGATAACGAAAAACTTGAGAGAGCTCCCTTCTCTCTTTTCTCCCTTCTCGAGGCGACTCCTCCCTCTTTTCGAAAACTTGGACCATGTTTATATATATATATATATATATGTATATACCGTTGAAATTTTCAACGATAACGTTGGGCAAACGTAGAGGGAGGGGCAAGGAGGGAATTTCACTCTTTCGCTCTTTGGACGCCGTTTCGAAACATAATACCCCACGAACTTGGAGAGAATTAATTAGCGCGAGTGAAACTCGCCCTGTACATATAGCGGAATTTCTATTCTATCTAATTCACCGGAAACAAACCGTGTTCCGTGCCACTTGGCCGGAAACGAGAGGCAGCCGAGGGTACGAGGAGGAAATTCATTCATTCGGCCCAAAATTTTTGCGCCCAATTTTCAACGGAGAAAAGTAAGTGCGCGAAACGACGTTTTTCGGGGGGGAGGGGGGGGGAGAGGGGGAAGCATCGGATTATTCGCGTTGCCAAAATCCTCTTTTTTTCTCCTCTTGCGTTGCAACAATAATGATCTATTATTCCATATTCGTTTTTTTCATCGCTGTAGACGAGAGGATACGCTGTCTCGTTCGTCTTTCCTTCTTCTCCACTTCGAGAAAATTTTCTTAAGCGATTATCCGAATTTTCAGATTTTCAGAATCGCGAAGGGAGAGGGATCGAGTAAGTAACGTTTCGCTTCGATGCTTGTTTCTTCGGGAGGAAGGGGTAGAAAATTGGAGGGATGATTGTGAGAAAGGAAGGAAAGCTGGTATTCAGAAATATAGAAACTTATGTGAGCAGTTTAATTTTCCGCTAGATAAAGCGAGACGGGATCCATCTAGTTCTACCATCGTTTCATTTTATCTAATGCGAAATTAAATTGCTTATAATTAAAAAAAAAAAAAGAAAAAGGAAAAAAATAAGTTCCAATCTTTTTGACCAATTTCTCTTCCATCTTTTTCAATCTCTGAGAAATTAACCATTTAAATTTTCCATAATACTCGCTTTAAAAAAAAAAAATTGATATTTTCCTTTACCATCCTGTTCCGTTTTCATCGTCGACGAGATGGAGCTAAATGCTGAAATAATTAAGAGGTTGTTGACGCACTTTAGCTAGAATGTTGGACAAGAATGCAAATTAAAATTCAGAGTAACACCTGCTACCTTTACGTAACGATATCTTGGCAAACATCTTGCCAGTCAGAGAGAGAGAGAGAGAGAGAGAGAGAGAGAGAGAGAGAGAGAGAAAGAGAGAGACTTCGCTAATTTCCCAGTTGACCAAGATCAATGACAGTCGCTTTACTCGAAACGACGGTAATTTGTTCCCAGTTATAAGTGGAACACCGTGTCTCCCCGAGGAGATCGATACTCCAAAAAGAAGAACATCTTTCCGATGTTCAATGATCGGTATTCCTTACGTCATAAACCGTGATGCAACGTTATTGCCCTCCTCCTCTTCCTCTTGCCTTTCCCCCCCGTAATCGTTATTCATTATTCCGATAGACGAAGAGAGGTAGGGAGGGAGGGTAGTCTCCTTCTCGTTCTCATCTTCTGTTATTATCGAGAATAAGACAATCCCTCGATCGAAGATCAAGCTTCGCTCTTTCGTTTCGCTTTGACCATCTCGAGTTCGCCTCGTTATTCATTCATTTTCCGATTGTAAATCGAAAAAATTGAGAAAGAATCGATTGCCTGCTTCCTCGTCATGGAATCTCGTCGTTATAATTTCGAAATAATAAAATTTCGAATTCTAATTGAGAAATTTATTTCTAAAGATCGATGATAAGGGAAATTCTCTTATGTCGATCGAGAGGGACACTTCGTTCCTTCCCCTCTCTCCGTTTGCTTTTCCATCGACAGAGCAGGGAATTGTTGCGTCAATTTCTCGAAGGAAACCACGAAACGCGTGTCCCTTGTATAGATTTATAAAAGAAAAGTATAGATTTATACCACGGAGTGAATGGTCTCCTCCTCTATATACCTACGAGAGCCTCTTCTTTCGCATTATTAAAACCAGACACTGTGACTTGCAGAAACTTTGAGCCAGAAGTTTGGCCCGCAATATGCTCTCTTTTATCCCTGCCTCCTCTGCGTTCAAGTCTTTAACTTTGGCCTGAAAGGCCGGGCGAAGTTGCGCGGAACGACACCCAAAGGCATACTTTCAGAAACGAAAGCCACTCCACTCCCCACCACCGGTCCCCAGAATCTTACCAAACTTCCCCACGTTGTTGCATTTTTCCGAGTACCAGTTGTTTCTTTTTATATTCTCTTTCCTGTAATCAACAATTTTCTTCAATTTTCTACAATAGTTTTTCTACAATAGTTTTCTAATAGTTGTAGAGCGTTGCTTCTCTACATTGCTGTTATACATCTACGCGGGTTGCACTTTCGCTTACAAATATCGTCTACGTAAAGTATTTCGATCAAGTAACGAGTCGTGTTTGAAAGAATTTTCATCTCCGTTGTTTTTCGAGTTTGCGAGAGTTTTCATCGCAAACAAGGAAGGAGAATTTTTTTTTGATTTCTTCGAGAATTTAGGATGGAACGTAGGAAGAAGAAGAAGATTGTGAAAACTAGTGGGTAATACTCGATTTTAGGACGTTAGGATTGGATCTAAGAGATCGATATAAATTATGAATCGATACGATCTTTCGAAAGTTATATACAGTAAATTACATTGAACAAAATTTACCTGCTTCGTTGGTTTCTCGTTTCCATGGTTGGCTGCGATCTGAAAAAGTGAAAAAAAGTTTTCAATTTCAGCATTATACACGGCAATGTATCAATAATAATTAAAATTACTCATTTAATCGTGAACGATGTAATATAAGTTGCATCGCGAGAAAAAAAAAACAAAAGAAAATAAAAAGCGTATAATTTTAGGAAGGAGAAATAATCATAGGAAGAATAATCGTATTATAAGCAATTCTCCCGATAATAAGAGAAAATAAATAGAATCTTAATTAATTGAACAAAAGTAAATCGAATCGAAAACGCGAATATAAAAATTTGCAAGGCAGAGGGATAAACGAAAACCGCATCAAATTTAAATCCGAATAACGAATACGATTAATCATTTAAATCAAATTAATAACGTAATATTATTTTCTTTTGTATCGCCGCATAACCATTACATTTTATTCATTATAATTATCCCATATTTTATCACTATCCAATTTCTTTTATATTATCCCCAATCGAATTAAATTGTACATATATATACATACAAATATATATCCCACTTTCAACATCTCAAGATACGAATTCGAGGGTAGATTTCTCTCAAACTACCCTCTCTCTCTCTCTCTCTCTCTCTCTCTCTCTCTCTCTCTCTCTCTCTCTCTCTCGACTTACTCTTTTCGCAAATGGACACTGCGCCGTAAGAATCGAAACAATCGAGTGTTCCCTCTCGAGAGTTTACCTAAAATACATTTTCACGTTCTAAGAATCTATCGGAATCTATCTACCATTGCGAGTATGCATTTCGCGTGTATTTCATTTATCTTCAATCTTTCCAATCTTAACTTCACAATCTCTCTTATTTCCCTCCCCCTTTTTTTTCTCCCAAACTTTTCAGCATATTTCCAAACACATTGGAGGAGGGGAAGGGGGAGGATATATCTGGTTCACGGATTCACGGCACGGCAAGCTTTTATTCTTCCCGTTACCGTTACAGGCGCGCGGAATCCCCTTGAACGTTCCTGAAACGCGATTACAAATAGCAAACGTTTGAATAGAGCATTGCACACGTACACGTACACGTACACGTACACACATGGCGGAGCGATATAAGGACCGGGATGAAATACGTACACGGCGTACGTGGCCTCTATCTCGCCGAAGACGGAAAGAAAGAAGTAGAAAGGGGGATGAGCGCGGTTATAAAGCTCGGGTAATATTTTAACACGCGCATTGTACTGACGGAATTGTAAAGGAAATAAATTATCGCGCCTGGGGGGAGGGGGGGACTCTTCTCCCGCCGTTGTTTCCTCGTGGTCAGAACAATTCCGCGCAGAATCCACCCTCTTCCCTCCCCTCCCCTCCCCTCCAGACCGTTGTTAAGGTAGAAAAGTTGCGCGAGAAGATGCACTCGTAAAATCGTGTTTTCAAGAACCGCCGCGTTATTCATCGCCGAAATATCGCGAGACGGTTTTTCTTTTTTTTTTATCGCGCTACGTACATTTACGCAAGGTAAATTCCAGCTTTGGAACGGCGACTTGGCGTTATAAATTATTATCCGTGGAAAGATTATTCGTGGATTAAATTGGAACGAATCCGATTTCGAAATCGTGGAAGGAGGAATCGAAATCTTTTTAGGCGGGTTTTTTTTTTTATTAATAATTATTAATTTTGTATACGAATTCGATAGATAGGATATAATTGGTAGATTAATTGGTAATAGGAATTAGATTACTTATCTTCACTTTTTCGGTTCAAATATTTGAAGTTCGGATAAGATGTTCGATCATGATGATAGAAGCTTAACTCAATCAAGTTAAATTTCGTCTGGATTCGAATGTTGTTCGCGCTAAATCGAGAAGATGCGGCGGATTAAAATTTGTCTCTCGTTTGGAATATATACGATCGTTCCACTGTTCCATCGTTCGAACATGACGACGTAGTAACAAATAGATAACTGCCGCGAGTTAGATAAATGTGATATCCTAGCCCGTTAATTACCGAGAAATAAATAAATAAATAAAAATCGAACCGGTCATTGTTCGAAAAACGGTAGGACAGTTACATCCCGATTCGAGAGATTCGGGGCGAGAAAGCGTCACAAATCATCATCATCGACTGCCATCCATCGAAACATCCCGCCTGTTGTCCTCCTCTATATTCCCCCGGGGGACGACATTTTTTCCCTCCTTCGTCGTCGTTTCTTGTTCCCCCTCCTTTTCTTCCTTCCTTCCTTCCTTTCTTTTTTTTCAAACATTCACGCGACGCGTTATGAACGAAATTCGAGAACAAACGGGGCAGAAACGAAGCGGATAGCGGGCAACCGAATTTCCAATTTCCCGCGTATTATCCCAGATTACCGTGGCGGACACGGACATTTTTTGAGATATCCGTTGATATACCGTGGAACAGCGGCGGAAGAGGATTAATTCGAGCGCCCTAACGCGTTCGTCACATTGGCGGGCCGCTACTAAGCCGCGCGCCATCTGCGCCGCTCGAAATTGGATAAATAGCACGGACACCTAGCTTCTCTTTCAGCTTGTCCGCCAAATTTTCCGCCTCCTATGATCGGGAAATATTTCGACCGACCGTGTGTGTGATCACATCCCGTATTTTATATATATATATATATATCTCTTTCTCTCTTTTATTTTCGCGCTTCGACTCGACGCGTTTTATTTCCATATTTCCTATCTATCGGCCGCGAAATCGCGTGCCGATTTTATGCCTCGCAAGAGGGACGGGGGCCACTCTTGCCTCGGTTAAATACAAAATTCTGCAGGAATTACGGGAAAATTACAGAGTTATTGAAAAATATTTTCCAAGAATTTTTGTTGCGTCGAAGGAGAAAAATATATATATCTTCGAATCTCGTCAAATTTTTTAAATTTCAAATTTTCTCTTCAACTCGATAAATTACAAGAGTAAGAAAGATATTGCAATTTCTGATTTTCGAGAGAAATCGATATATTTATATATATATATTTATCTCTCGTGTGTGTGAAGATTTTAAAAGGCCAAAAATTATTCTATCTAAAGCGAAAATTTGGCTGGTGACTAGTCAAGAGTCACGATACAAGATTTTTCTTAAGGATGAGCTCGATTCGATGGAAGTGTATATATTCTGACAAATAACAATTTTTTTTCTTTTGAAAAGAAAAAAGTAACATTTGTCGGATATCGGAAGCGATGACTAGAAACTCTCGCAAAACTTCTTTCTTCCATTGGATACGCGCGGTTTGGCGAATTGCTATAAAAACCGTGCTGGTTTTTCCAACCCCACGATGTTTTATCACATCGTGAAACGCGACTCGAGACGCGAAGAATGCCAGTGGGTTCGTGATTGCTCCCTATATATATATAGATTGGACGAGAGAGAAGAGTCTAAAAGTGCGCTTGGAATTTAATTTCATGAGCCGATTACTCTTTCCCGAATCATTTTCTTCCGCTTCGTTAACGGTGAAAGATTCGAAAACCTTTGGTCTTAGTTAAACTTGCTTTACTTGCTTCATTAATGAAGCTCCCGCGTATAGAAATACATTTTAACTTCATTTTATTCGATGAAATTTTAACGATAATATATCAAATTATCGAGGATAGTTTTATCCAATTAGTCGAGGCGTCTCTACGCGTTTAATTATTGTTCCACGAGTCAACAAAAGCTTAATCGGTTAATCCCTCTCAAGCAATTTTTCTTCCTTTAGCTGAAAATTTTCGTTTCCCCTGCTTTGTTAACGAGTTATTAACGAAAAAAGAAGAAGAAGAAAAAAAAGTTAAAACCAATCGTGTAGACATGTTCCATTTATAATCAAACGATAAAAGTTTATTCAAGATACGAGCAATAATCAACAACGTTGAGTGTTGAAATTACGAAATTTATCGCGTGATCTCGAAATGAAAAACGAAATTTATTCGAATTATTATGCCTTGATATACTTGATTTATGAAACAGAATGGAAAGTGAATAAGATATGAACAGAAATAAAAAGAAAACGAAAACGATTTATCCATCGAATATCGTCAAATCTTAAAAAAAAAAGAAGAAGAAAAACGTGTTGGAAAGCTGTCTGTCCCAGCCAGAAGTTTCCTCGCGTGCAATCAGACCGCGTCGAGAATTTTCCCCGGCGAGAATTTCCGCTTGGCACGCTCGGTGCACGGCCGTCAAAGGTTCTTTTTCCCCGTAAAGAGAAACGTTTGTCGCGCATATTTACCGTGGATTTCGAACCACATCCCTCTACACCCTTCCATCAGCTCCGTTTTCTTCGCGGACCGATAAGTTAGGCGCGAGCAACCCTCTCTCTCTCTCTCTCTCTCTCTCTCTCTCTCAAAGCCCTCCCTTTCATCGCGACCACACATCTATCCGCGCGTATAGAAGTCGCGAATGGTTATGACAGTCGATTCAATGCTCCCTCGTCCTCCTCGACGAAGAAAATGCGCGGCGCGAAAATGTGAAACGCCTCGAGGCTCTCGTTAATGCCTTAGCTGGTTTGTCCGACTGATGATCGAACACGGTCCGCTGCCCGCCATTGTGCCCTGCTTTCTTTATCCTCGAAGAGAGCACAAAGAGAGACGAGAAAGAGTCTGTTCAAGGAAGATGTTTTTAAGGGATAATTTTTGTTCGCGATGCGAGATTAGAAGCTTTTTTTGAGACTTTCTCCAAGTATGGAAAATGATTCTTGGATAGTAAGATATCGATCGATAGTAAGGCATTCCTTGAATGAGAATTATATATGAGATTATTATAGAAAATATATATATATATATATTGTTAAAAAACTCGCGAATATTGGTGAATATATATATATATATATATATATGTCTGAGATCGACCGTGAAAAGATAAAGGCATGCAATTTTTTATCGTCAAGGAACTTATAAAGCGTGTATCTTAAAGGATGCATTGTAGGATACTTTAACGTACTACATTATTACACATCGCGTCAACGTCGAATTTATGTAGAGACTTACTCACTTATATAGCATTTATATATATACCTTTTTGAAGAAAAGTTAATGGAGCGAAACGAAACAGTATATATATATACAATATAT